TGGAGGTGCAGAGCTCCACTCTGAGCTCTTTAACCTCTCTGCTCTGTGTTGTTTCCTCTCTGCAGGACAGAGAATCACAGCTGAAGCTGGACAGGACTCAGTCACTCTGCCATGTGGAGCTGGAAAGGAGACACAGATATTGACTGTGGAGTGGAGCAGACCTGATCTGGATCCAGATGTTGTTCTTCTGTTCAGCTTTGGTCTCTTTGAGCCAGACCGCCAGCATCCGTCCTTCAGGAACCGGGTGGATCTGCAGGACAGACAGATGAAGGATGGAGACGTGTCTCTGATTCTGAAGGATGTGACGATGGATGATACAGGAATATATGAGTGTGAAGTTTATCAGAGTGAACAAGACATGGGGTTTATCTTCAAAACCTCCATCTATCTTGTCGTTTCTCCTCCTCCAGGTGAGTGTGTGTGTGTGAGAGCTGCAGCAGCTTCCTGCTTGTTGATGTGAGAGGGAAACCTCTCAGATCAGATGTTTGTGTTAAAAACAAAGAGCTGACCTGGTTAAACTTCCTGTGGTCTGTCAGCTGGAGAGCGACTATTTACCCACCGGCTGTCTCAGCCAATCAGAAAGCAGAACACATGCGGTCCTTTAAAAGATGTTAAAACTTAGTGTCCTCTGCAGGGAAAGCTCGGCCCACCTCTGAAGCCCCGCCCACCTCTGAAGCCCCGCCCCCTGACTCCTCCCCCCACCACCTTGGGCTCATGCTGCTCCTCCGCCTGCTGGTGTTCTGCCCCTACTTCATCTCCACCCTCCTCCTGGTGTCTGTGTACCGACTCAGAGCCAAAGGTAACGTTTACCCAGCTGCCGATCAATCAATCAATCAACCAATCAATCAATCAACCAATCAATCAATCAATCAATCAATCAATCAATCAACCAATCAATCAATCAATCAATCAATCAATCAATGAACCACACAATCAATCAACCAATCAACCAAACAATCAACCAATCAGTCAATCAACCAACCAACCTATCAATCAATCAACCAATCAATCAATCAATCAATGAACCACACAATCAATCAATCAATGAACCAATCAATATATGAATCAGTCAATCAATCAACCAATCAATCAACCAATCAATCAACCAACCAATCAATTTATCTATCAATCAGTGATTTCCGGCCTCTGTGGCTGAACTCTCCATGTTTTATTGATCTCTTTCCATTTTTCTTTCTCACCTGCTCTGATTACAGAAGGTAAACAGCTCGTCTCCATGACGACGGCCCCGCCCCTCCAGGCTGAGCCGGGATTGGTCGATGACTACGATGACGTCACCACAGAGCATCACTTCTGATTGGATCGTCTGGCTGTCTCTGACCACTGATCTCATTTTACTCTGATTTGGCTCCAACTGTATTTCTGTTTTCGGCCCTTTGAAATAAAAAAAAAATTCTTTTCCTTCCGTTTTGTGTTTTCAACTTTCAAAAACCAGCTGACAGTTTCTTCTTTATGTTCAGGCTCGTTTCTGGATGGCGAGAGTGAGAAATATTTGAGCCATAAGGCCACAGATGGAGGGGATTTCCCCCCTTATGGTGCGTTCAGGGACTCCTCTGTTTGCAGTCACACATCACATCAAAAAACCTTTGAATCATGAACTATTTAGGCTAATTATTGTCGAAGCTGATAGAGCTCAGAAATGTTAGAAAATAATGCGAGATGAAAATAATCAGAAGACTTTTAATAAAGCAAAGAAGGGACAAGACTCGGGTGACGGAATAAGTATTTTGGATAGTAACAGGGGGTCCTGCCGCTGGCAGTAGCCCCCCTAAGAAGTATTTTTGGATAGTTATAGGGGGGCCGGCCGCAGGAAGCGGGCCCTAATAAGTAATGGAATAAGTGTTTTGGATAGTAATAGGGGGGCCTGCCGCTGGCAGTGACCCCCCTAATGAATATTTTGGATAGTAATAGGGGGGCCTGCCACTGGCAGTGGCCCCCCCTAATAAGTATTTTGGACAGTAATAGAGGGGCCTGCCACTGGCAGCGGCCCCCCTAATCAGTGACGGAATAAGTATTTTGGATAGTAATAGG